CTGACCAGGTTTCAGAAACCCAGAAATTCTGGCACGATAAATTCCTCACCTTGATGGAGACTATGGTGGGCCGAACTGTCGCCATTCCAAGTGCCCCGAACTCCCATAGAGTCTCTCGCAGGTAAAGCAGCTGCCTGGGCTCCAACAATTCAACAGCTGAGGTTAGCGATGCTTGACCTTTGAAAAGGTGGGATGTCCCAGATTCGAAGCGGGATATGACTATGGATTCATGGATCAACAGCCTGATGAGGTAGTGCAGAGTGATGGTGGGTTCTTTTCTCAGTGGTGTCTGGTGTCCAATACTCAAATTGACCATGTTCAGCAGTTTCTTGGACGACCTGTTTCTAAACAAACCGATATGATATAAGTCCTAAAAATCCTGGCAGACCAGGCATGACCCTCCCCGTCATTGGCAAGGTTTTTGGGTGAGTCATCTCAACAAGACTTGTGAAATCGAAGTCTGAGACGAAATCAAGCGACCCTGCAGTACCTTGTGTGATCAGTTCAACTGTACAATTTGTGTTTTATTGTAGTTCTTTTCCTGTTTGTGTTCCTGAATGTTCCCAATGATCGCTTTGAAAGTGCCTTGAAGCGCCAGAGGTCGGCCCAACTTCCGCCAAAAATCCCAAGTCCAATACTGCTACCTTTGACCAATTTCCCCCTGTGCTAGATCACAAGTCCTTCTTGGACCCAATTCCAGCTTTTGTTGCTTGAATCATCTCAAATCACCAAAAAAAAAACTACATCTTTTGCTACTCCTTGGCTGAGTGTCTGAGTGTCAGGGCTGTGGCTCCTGTCGTCCGCGAAAGCTTAAGAGCTCCAAGGGCAACTGGTTTTGGACCTCGGGATGGAATTTTGGGTCAAATTGAAACAGCGCCACCGATGCAGGTTTTTTGACATCATGTATTTCTATGTGAAATCCATTGCACAATCATTATACATACATTATGTACTGAAAAAAATAAATAAATGTATCTACAGTAGATTTCTACTCTCCCCAAAACATGTACAACTTCTCCAATGTTTCTCCATCCTGGGCACCATACCCAGGCTTTGATCTGAACCTGGATCTGCCTGGAGATCGTAGAACCATTGCTGATGGCGATGTTTGGGTGATATCTAGGGGATCATCTTATTCGATAGGGACAGATATACACCTTATAGTAGGGGGATCATCGTCATATTATAGTATTATCTAGGGGGTTATCACACAAATAGTTTCACAGATATACACCTTATTTCTTTTGCTCGCCACCTTTGCCAGCGTGGAAACTCCCAGTTCCCTGGCAGCCGGTCCAGCCGATTTTTTTGAAGTCCAAGGCGCTCGATCTCCACCGCGAGCGGCTCTGCGACCTGTCCCAAGATTGTCAACTCAGAATTCAAAATGGTTTTCTTGTCTATACCCGTTCCCTAAAGAGCAAAATTGGTCAAGTGAATGCTTGAATTTGTTTGAATATTTCGAACAGCACCGTTCGCAGCTGTTCCTACAAACAGCCAATCATCCTAACAATTGTAGTGCATAGTCGATTTCCTGATCATTCATGGCGTTAACTCACAAAGAAAATGGGGATTCGGTTCGATATTTTTCTGATTGGATCTTTCCAGCCCAGCAGCTGCAACTGTCCCACAAGGACAAACATCAGCTGGGTGTCTCTGAAAATGGGAAAATGGGCCCAGAAGTCTTGCCGTTTGGATCTGACGAGGAACCGGATTTGGAATGCGCCTGTTCCGCAGCATCTCCCTGAAGCTGCATATCCAAGGGTCCTTCGGGCTCCCAAGGGACCAACCTCGGATCGGATGAGGAGGGCCAGTGGGCAGGACATGTGTTCTTTTTGGCGAGGCCGTGTCATTTTTAGTCGGGCATTCCCGAAACCAACTGCCAGGGTTTGGGTGACATTTAAGAAACACTGTCCCTTCAGCTGGAGAAAGGCTAACATGCGTTGAACACACGGTGGGCGACTGGCTGCTGATGTTGATCACATTTGATCACCCCACTAACATTGACTCCTCCATTTTGCCCAGTTACAGTGTGTTGGGGGTACATCTCTTCAGTGCCAGATAAGTGCCAGACTGGGTTCTCTTGCTGCCCTCCTGTGTCTGCGAGCATCTCTGTCGCAGATGGCACGGTCAAGCAATGTCTGTCTATTTGTAAAGCTTGACCAGCACTTGTAGTCTTTTGCAATGCACAAACGCTGAAGCCCCCGCTGGGCAAATTTGTTTTCGCAATATATGGATTTCTCAGTGCCCATCATGAAGGCATGAAAGAACCCCTTCTGCAGATCATTGAAACCTCAAAATTTAGAGCTTCCTCGACCCCGTCCCTGATTCTCATGACAAACCATACTGCAAGCCCCAAGGAGGTATAACCATTTCAATAAAACCAAATACAGTAGCTACAGTCCATTGTAGCCCGCGCAATCCCCCATGGATCAAACCGCTCCTGAAGGGGCCGCTCGCAGGCAAAAGGCAGAATGTATTTGCTCTTGAGCATCTCCAACTC